AAAGAGTGCAAAGACAGTGATCCATTTTGTAATTCTCCTTTTAAGAAATTTTGCCTTCTACTAAAACTATATTTAGCTCACTATTTTAAGAAGACACTAACTGAAACAACAGTGAAACGTTCTAGATCTTCCTGTAGTTTAGGAATTTATACATTTACATTCCATGCCCATTCAAGATCAGATTTTTTTCAATCACACAGTGGCTTGGAAGTCTTAGGCACACCTACCAACTCTAATGCTTGGCTATTTATTTTTTTTCAGCTATTTGTTGCTTTTTTCCTGGCTTTCTCTTGCCTCAATTCTATGAACAAAAGAATGTACCTGTGTACGTGGGTGACTTATCTTTTCTGCTGTTGGTTAGAGATACCCAAGGGGCACTTTTAACTCTTGCAATCCTGCCCAAAGCTGCACCTCATCCGAGCGGGGAATCTGAAGAAGCGGCAGCAGCAGCAAATACCTTTGTGTAATTTTTCTGTGGGACTACTTCTGCCCTCTGGCCCATTGACTTTGAAAGAACCTTTTAAACTACAGTTCTGAGCCTGCTTTGCAAACTAGAAGAGACATGATTTTCTGTAGAAAGTGTGGGGCTTTCTTCTTAACTGTATTTATTAAAAATTACAGTATATAGATATTGATGAGATCAGAAAAGCAGTATGGTTCAGGGAGTACCATTCTCTTGAATCAATGCATGTTAGCAGACAGGACATGTTCAAATTTCAGAGATGAATTCAGTTCTGCACTTAAAAAGAAAAAAAGAAAAAAAGAAAAAAAGAAAAAAAATCAGGTTCTTTTCCTTGAGACACACCAGAGAGCACTGTTATTCCAAAAAGGGAAAGGAGAGGGTCATATCTCTCCAACTTCACAAGTCTGTGGAGCAACCTGAGCATGCTTTGGAAGGCAGCAGTATATGTTCCAGTCGAAGCATAGGAATTCTTCATGCTTCCTGTAACTCAATACTATCCCACACCATCCTTGAACAGGGCTGTTTCTTAAATGCCATCTTTGTATTCAGATTAATTGAGAAGTTGGAAACGATTTCTTGCTGTTGCTCACATAGTAGGAGCCATTGACAGAGGAAGTTGGTAATTACAGAAGAATGGCACAATGTGATTAAATGGAGGGGGAAGAGTTGTGTTATTTTAGTATGGATGTTATGTTGAAATTAACTTGAATCGATCTATTAAAAAAGTTTTTAATTTTGTTATGCATGCTCCAGAAATTAATTTCTTGTTTAGTATCCTTGATTGGCTCTGCTGTAGTTCCTTTATGCATGCAAATTTAAAATGCGTACAACTTAATTCCTGATACTTGCTTCCAACCTCTAATTTATCACAATTGAATCATTGTTCTGGGGTTCACTGTGCAATTAGTGACAGTCTGTTTGAATAGATATACCTTTCTCTTTCTAAAAGTCAGACTGCTGTATTTTCTTGTCTGCAATCTAATTTGCTTGGAGGCAAGCATGTTAGAGACAATCATAGAATGACAATGGAGTAGACGTGCTCAGTTCCTAATTTATCAATCTTTGTATGCTAGATGAGTTCTCACATTACTTTGGTTACTCTGCTTATATTGCTGTGACTTTTTTCTAGGAATGAATGCCTAGTTTGGATGGTCAGTAAGACAAAAGCCTTTATTCTGTGTCCTGTGAGCTGGTGATAGCCTAGCAGACCCCTGAACATTCTTCTGTGGCTGCTATTTACTCATCGAATGTTTACCTCTTGTGCTTTCTTTCGTGACTTACCAAGAGAGTTTTTATTATCTTCAACCCAAAGTACTTTATTTTCAGGGGCTGTTTTCCTGAAAGCTTTCAGTCAGAAGATAGGATCTGGAAACATATAATCTATAATAAATCTCATCTGTTATATTGTTTAGTTGCTTACCTGATTTGTGAAGTTTTGATCTTGAGAGTGAGGAGATCTGGTTATATCACCTAAAATGTGTTTCCACAATGTTCCTAAGCTGTACAGGAAAGCAAGCAACTTCTAAAGCCTTTATTTCCAAATATTATGAAGAATGTGAAAGAGCAATTGAATTACAACATGCCTTGGAGAAAGTAAAAAGAAAATTGCTTTTGTAAAGAAATCTCTAGTATAATTTTGTCACTTGGCTGTTTGTACCAGCCATTTTAGCCCCATATATTAATCCTAGCAGATAACTATGTAATCACCATACTTTCTATAGTAAAATGAAAGGAAAGCAGTTGATGGAAAAGAAATGGGAAGGCAGTATTATAAATAGTGAAGTACAGAAGAGTAAGAACTAGTTGTGAAATATGAACCAGCTTGACATATTAAAGCCAATTTTAATAAAATTGGAAAAAATGCAATTAAAGTGTTCATGATACCTTAATGCCAGAAAGGCATTGAAGAAAATATTTGAAAATAACTACCGAATTTCAAAGCTTTGAGTCTTGGCTGTTTATTTCTTTCAAATATCGGAGAATTCATTAGTTTATAATCATAGTTTTAGGGGAGATAATACAGTAGTAATATGTGCCTTTTTCCTAATAGCAGTTGCGTATTTTGTTGTCTTCAGGATTCTTTGTAAAGCAGAAGGATGGACTGATTACTGTTTATAATGTAAAACATTGCTTGAATATGTGGCAATAAGCAGTATTCTCAGAGTAGCAGGCTGAAATGTGTGCTTTTAAGTTCTTAACTGAGCAATTAAAATCACATCTGACACGACAAGGTAAATTAACAACCTCAGGTTTAATGAGAATTTAGTATTTCATCTAGAAATAATACTGAGTATCTGCAAGATCTGAGTTTTGAAGTCAAGCAACAATACTTAAAACAGTTGATCTCTTGGTAAAAATAGTGAATATAAATCTGTCCTTTCAGACAGGCGCATGATAGTGTCTAGTCCTATAATACTTGATACGTGTTTAAATGCCTATGAAGGAAGATATATATCTCAGCCTGTGTATTTTTTATTGAACTGTTCCCTCTGCCCAAGTAATTTATTATGTACTAAATATGTAAACCTTTATTCCATGTAGATCTATGAGTTTATTTTATAAACCTTTATTTTAAAGGTATTCCTTACTAGGTATGCTTAAAGTTAGCAGCCTTTGGTATTTAAAATACAATTCTAAATAGTTCTAAGACACTTAATTTCTTAAAAACATTTACTTTGAAATTAAAGCTGTAGTTGTTACAACTATGACTTTTTAAATTATGGTGTTGTGGCCTTTGCCTTCAGCCTTACGTTGTTCTTGGATACAAATCCTTTTTCTGAGGTCATATGTAGGTACCATTCAGAAGAATGAGTTTGGGATCCTCTTCTGTAAGCGTCTGTAATTCATGTTACTTTTTCGCAGAGAAGGCATGATCAACAACTTCACTCACTTGAAATAGGAAGGTTTTAATGGTCCTAAAACGTAGGGGACTTTCTTGTCCCCTGGTTTGTTTCTTTTGAGGCTGAAGTCCAGTGGCTATATTGTAACCTAGTTCTATATTCCTTGCAGAATTGCCAAGCTCTAAACCAGTTGATTAGTGTCTGTTTGTTTATTATTTACTGTGGTAATTTAGAGAACATACTTCTGGGCTCAGGCGTCATGTTGGGTGCTCTTCGGGCATGCGGGTTATTTCATCGACTCTGCTGGTTATGCCCATGCAGTCTTTCAGGCTTATTGTTCCATCCTGGTTTGAGCCAGCATATCCAGCATATGGAAAAAGTGAAGAAAGAAAGATTAGAAAAAAATAATTTCCACACAAGGTTTTCTTGAAGCACTTGACTATCTCAGTTGAAAGAAAAACCCTGAAATGCCTTTCATCCATGAGAATCTGTTAACCTGGCATCTGAGTGGCAGAGAGAGGCAAACTCACATGCAAAGGAGTCATCCCTTTGCAACCCTCTTCCTCCTTTTTTTAATGACAGCGGCTGCCTGTACAGAGTGAGCATCAGCTACTGAGTAGACATTCTTCTGAAGCTTTGGATGGAGTATGTTGGAACTCTCCCTCTAGCTACATTTTCCCCTTATTATGATTAAGCAGTAGAAATGCCATATGACAGGAATGGGAAACTACTTAAGAGGCTCTCTAAGAAAATGTGGACTTGATGGTGGCTTTGTGATGGTCCTTTGATGGGATTTGAAACATCTTTCCTTGGTAACAATATACAGTAGATTCTCCATTTGTGGGTGCAACACAGTTAACATCTCTGTCGCTTCTAGAGACACAACAGTGTTTGTAACTTGGGACAGACAGGTTCTGTTACAGCTGAGCATTCATAGCTCCCACCTTTTCATAATTTCTTATTTGTACAGAATGTGCGTAGCTTGTCCTTTAATTGCCTTGTTTTGGGTTCTGCGCACCCATTTCTGTTTCTTGATATGCAATGGCTCACCTTTACATGACTTTCTGTGGGCATGACTGCATCTCTTAAGTGGCTGCTGAAGAGCTAACTCTAAATATCAAATACCACTTGTTGCAAATAGCAAGTAGAGCTTCCCTTTTCCCATGGAAGATGAATATTGAAACTTAAAACTCTGAAGTTATTCTGGGGATGCACTGCACAGTATCCTCCTTGCAGCAGGGCACACGCTAATGTATCAAAGTTACACTGAGCTAAGTTCAGCAGATGTGAGGCTTGAAGGAAAATCCCAGGCAGGTCATATGGAACCATACCTAGGATTGAATGCGCCTGGATGAAGCTTGCAGAGCATTGCCACTGCACAGCAAGACAGGGTCTGCCATCCTCTTCTGCTGCCGTGTTTGACTTCTCCATCCATTAAGCTGTGAAGCCACAGCAGAAGTGGCACCTCTCAGCGTTGTTTAAAAGCACATTTGTGGGCTCCAGTGAATTTGCATTGGACCATATCTTGATGGAGTTCTGTCCTAACTTTCCGTCTGAACTGACTGCTTGTATTGGGCATAAACTGTAGGGTATGGTAGCAGGTGCTGCAGGGTTCCCCTCTGTGCGGAGGAGGTCGTGAGCTGCCCTGTGCTGCTATGGCTGGTTTCAGCTTGCTCTGAAATGGATGAAAACAACTCATGGTGGGCCAGAACTTCAGAGCAGCGTGCGGTGCCTCTGTTCACGCATATCGAAGAAAAGGAGCAGCTGCCGAGGGCAGAGGACACAAACATGAGGATGTGTGTGAGGACACACAGAAGGCAATGGGAGGAGATAGGGGAAGAGATGTACATCTGGAGACGCAAGGAGAGGTAACCAGAAACCTCTAGGCCCTGACCCCAGCCTCCTGCGATGGCCGTTGTCTCGCCAAAGGGATGTGGAAGGGACCAAGTGTAATGCCTGGTGAAAACATGGGAAGCTGGGGTAGGAATAGGGGAGGAGAAGTGCTGGACTGAAGCGGGGCCTGGGGAGGGAAGGTGCTTCCTTAAGTGCTCGTTTAACTCTTGATCTTTTTTCCTCAATACTTGAATCTGTAATTAAAAGGTTACATTAATTGGCAATAAACTAAGTGAATTTCCTTAGTCAAGACTGGTTTGCCCACATGGCTCTAATTCCAGAAGGCATTGCAGCACCACCATTACCTGAGCAAAAAGGTAGTTGGTAACTTGTCCCTTGTGCATGGTCAGTGGTCTCATCCACAGGAGTCGATTGTTTGTTCTGTTTCACATAATGGAGGGAAATGTGTTGCTTTCGGGGTGTGCTTTTTCCATTTATACAGCTCTTTTTTAATCAAGCGGGAACTCAGAAGTGCTGTTGAACTTGCTTTACTTCATCCTTCTTGTGAAAATTGAGTTTTCATACTTAATCACTAAAACATGACAGAAAAATATCTGAAGCATGTACCACCTGTTTTTCCTTTCATCTTCATTCATTCATTAGCTTCCTCATATTAAAAGCCCTCCAAGACACAATTAACCCTTTTTAATACTGTGAAGCTTGAAATGATCATTAAAACTCATTAAAGTAGAGAAACTTACTTTCAAAAGCAGTTTAATATTAAAATTTTCCTGTTTTCTTTTCTTGTGGATAGGATAGAATACTTAGGGTATGGCCATCACGGTTCCAGTCTTAACTGACTATTCAAGTAATTAATGATAATTGGTTGCTTTGCATTGCAGAACTACACTCCGTACTAGAAGACACTTTGATGAAATAATTTTCTATAATGGAATGTTGTCTTCTGAGTATGGACTATATAATAATAATGTCAGTGAGTCCTTTCTGTCCAGTAAGAAGAAAATATAATTGAAGATTAAAATACATTACCAAAAGTCTTGCTTTTTTCTCCCCCTTTACATTCTCCTGTAGTGTGAATTGTGCTGTTGCCTCAAGAAAGCAAACATCTAGTTAAGTTTTCTATTTTAGTGAGTTGTTTTTGTTTTTAACATCCTTTAAAATGCACAAACATGCAGTTTTATTTTGGTACTAACTTGGGTGGTCTTGTGTCAACATACATGAAGGTTGAATTTGATCTCACTTTAAACAAAGTCTTTTTTTGTGTTATGTTAATTGTCTAGTCTGTTCCCAGCATTATATAAACAATGTTAGAATTGAGAAATTGATTAGAATAGACAAAATTCAGAATAACCTTCTAAGTTCATAGGCAGTGTTGTTTTCATCCTGCAAGTTTTGGCAGGATGAAAATGACTAATCTCAAAGAGAAGTGCCATGAGGTAAAATGGTGACTTCAAAGCAATAAACTGCCTTGGGTTTAGTGAAACTGCAATAAAACTATCATGAAGCACTGTCAAAGTGTTGATTTTTTTGTACTACTAGTATTAGAAGTAATAAAATGTAGGATTTATTGCTAGACTTCTAATTTTATCTTAAAATTGTGACAAAAAGAGCATCATGAAAAGGGTGTGCTTTTGATTCTTGTGAACTATATTTGGTAACTGAAATTATAATTCAGACTAGTTATATTTTCTAAAATATATTATTTGGAAGCAACTGCCTTTCTCTTTAAAAATTATTAAAAAACTATAAGCAGGACTATTTATGTTTTGAAAATATTAGCTGTTATATACTTCAAAAAATTGTATAACTACTACAATAGGATTTTCAGAAGTGCTCAGCATCAACCTAATTCTGTCCAGAAGAAACTGAAAAAATGAGAGGACTTGACCAGTCCTTAGAAATGATGATATTCTTATCTGCCTCCTCGCTGAAGTTAAATTCTACTTAAAATTACAAACTGAGCGAGAACTATGATACTAGCCTATCTATAGGCAGACGTGAAAGCTGTAATCTGCTAGGATTCCTCTTACTCAATGGAAAGCAAGATATGATAGAGACAAAAATTTGAAAGAATAATGATATAAAGGGAAAATGTATTTGGATACATCCCTGTACAGAGGTAGGACAGCATTTTGAATGGGAAAGTGTAACATGACTTGCCATTGAGAGCAATGTAGATATTTCAAGAAATAATACAAGTCATAAAAATGTATTATTGATTTGTGCCTTGTTAATTAAGTGCCCTAATTCTAATTGATTGTGCAATTATTTCAAACAGACCTTTGCAGCTTAGTAGATACAACTTCGGAATGCAAAACTTTCTTAGCCATGATGATTTGCTGTAGCTACTTATCAGTACATTGAAAAAACTATTGTGATTCTTTATAACGTTGCCCTTATCCTTCTTTTTTAGGTATGGGATGCTGTAGATACAGGCTGCTGTTTAAAAACATATTCCTGTCACTCCTGTGCTGTTCGAGCTGCCCGGTGGTCATCTTGTGGAAGAAGGATCCTCAGTGGGGGCTTTGATTCCATGTTGCATTTAACAGATGTAGAGACAGGTAAAGGTCATGTAAGGGTGCATTATAACCCTATCTTTATTGAGTACAGATAACTGGATCTCATTAGCCTTATTCTTTCTTCTAAAAATATGGATAAAATCTATAGATCAAAGTTAGAATTCTTGAAATGTGTCCTCACTAAAAAAAATCTCAGCAATTAAGGGTAGTTGGAGATATTTAAGAAAACTGAAATGTCCTTAACTTCATGATCACACGTAATTTCTGTTGTCAGATACTGCGCAGATGAACAGAATGAAACGTGTATTTTTTTATGCTCTGTCATGATCATTCATTAAAGCGTTTGAAGAGCCTCTTAAGGCTGACTTCAGTAACATTTATGCATATGGTTAATTTAAACATAGGCTTGTACCTTATTCTCAATTGGGTTGGTTTTAAGTTGGTGCTTAAAGTTAATTAGGTGGGTTTTTTTTCTTCTGAATAAGACCTTAATTAGGAGTATAGAAACTTAAATTCTCATATGAAACCTTGAGACTGCTCTTGTGTTGCTTTGATGCAGTTGTGAATTTGATTTGGGATTTGATTGTTTTGACCTTAACAACTGATTTCCTGGATGCTGTCTCTCCTCATGTCTCCTTCACAAACTCAAGTTCTTCTGTCAGTTATATTTCTTCTCTCTTTTATGTATGTTATCAGCATCATGGCAGCATTCATTGGGGCTGTACATAATAGGGCACCTCTGTGTGTGTATAAATGAAGGATTAGGCCTAAAATAGTATTTTGTCAACTGAAGAGTTGCAACTTTATTTTTTCCACTTAATTTATTTTTAAATGCTTAACTTCTGCAAAGGTGCAATATTTTTTTGTAAGACTACAAAAGAAATCCTTACAAAAATTACAAGAAGTTCTTGTCTAGGAGGGTTTTCTCTTACATAGAAGTAAGTAGTACATTGTATGTGACTATCTGGAGAGCAGAAGTTCTATTCAGATGAACTGGGAAAGTGGCCAAGGAAATTTGTGAATATTGTTCGCATGAAAAGAAGATTCCTTTCCATGCTCTAAGAGTTTATATTTTTCAGCATTTGTCATACCAGAAGTATTTAAATTCAATGGTGGCTGGAAGGGAGCTGTTGTAGTTTGGGAACGTAAAACATGTGACACAGTTATGGAATATTGAAGTTTTGAGAATATTCAGGTTTTGTAATGGGGAAAAGAGCTTTATATATCTGATGTAGTAGTAGTACATGAGGTTAACATACCAAGTCATTAATTTTGTCAGACTTCTCATCTTTTTTTATTTTCAGTCTCATTGCAGCAACCTTCTCATTTCTAGTCTCATATATAACTGAATCTTACTAATCCAAGCGGATTTTGACTGTAGTGCTTACAAATTCTAAACAGAATGGCTACTGCCATTAATGGGATTTATAGCAGAAAATAGATTTTATGTGCCTGAGTCATTTGAAGGGACTACTGTGGGGAAAAATCTCATTTTATAAAAACATAGAACAAATTCCAAAGATACATAATTTTAATCATATACTTTAATTTCTAACATCTCTTTGACTTAACTATCCATTAATGGGATAGTAGTCTGGATTAAGTTGATTGTAGTGGTTCATTTGAAAGAAGGCATTTCTAGTGTTTTGGGCAATGATAACAGTAACAAGTTATATTTAACAAGTTTCAAAACAGATAAGCTTATAAATGGTTCTTTGCTTACTGACTTGTGTGTTATGTAGTATTTCTAACTACTTAAATAAACTGTATGTGTAAGGGCAAAATGAATGGTTATAATCTTTGAAAATACCAGATATTCATTATTGCCTTATTTCAAGAACGCAGGATTCCTTGCAGATCCTGTGAACTGCAGTTCTGATGTTGATGTTTGGACCTGACTTTTAGTGATACACACCTCATTTGGAACAGTATGATATGAGTGAGTGGAATTTTATTCTGATTTCCTACACATGCAGGCCAGTTTCTGATTTCCTTCCCTGTTGTAAAGTTAGTCCTTTTTTTTTCCACACATTTCAGTCAATTCTTTTCAGAGAAACAGGGCAAGCAGTTGAATCTTGAATCCAAATAAATTTGATATAAAAAGACTCATTTCCATTTGAAAAACACTAAGGCAGCTATAAGATTTTGATTTACATTAGTTCACTGAATCATTCATTCCTCCTCACTCTTCATCAGTGCTGAGATGATTTCTTCTTTGATTAGCTTCAGATAATGTTAGAACTGCTAGATGTTAGAACTGTTCCTTCACAGAAGACTTTTAGATACCTTTTTGGACTTCGATCTTACTTAATTTCCATTGCTAGACTGAACTAACTATCATTGTGTTTAAATGCAGTAAATGTATGCTGGTGGGATTTTAAAAATAATAATGCTATCGTTAAGGCTCTATGCTCTTGTCTCTCTTGTATGTGGTTCTGGTTCAAGATTTTTCTAGTTACGTTTGCTAAAGTCTAATCTTTCTCATCTTTGTTTTCAGTATAGATTTTATATATTTGTGTTATAAAAATTGCTACATGTCCTTCACCAAAAGAAACCTAACTATCTGAAGAGAATTACTTTTAAAAGTTTAGGAAAGGTTGCAAATACAGCTTAGTACATACATGAGCTCTCAGTTTTGTTTTTTTTTTCTTGCCATTTTGTGTTGTTTTTCTGCTAGGAACATAATTTCTGCCCTATTAAATCAAAATTGTAGTCTATCTAATTGTTTGTTCTGGGTCTGATGACAGCTAGTTACGAGATTCTTCAAAGCAATGTGCCATCATTGTTGTAACAAACAGTGCTAGAATAAATTCTCCAGGAAATTTTATTTCTAAGCTTGGACTTAAGTTTGAGTGTTCCTTGTCCTAGGATATTGTGATTTCCCTTTTTTTAATATTTGTCATCTGAACAACATCAGAATAGAAGCAAGCACTGAAATCTCATTAATCATAAAACAATTTTTGTTATTGTTGGCATAGAGATCCTGATGCAAGGGTAGAAGACACATCCATGAAATCTTATCCTGCAGTTTTACACCATCAAATGTCTTCCCCTTGTCAAGTGTATTTAATGAAAGTTCTTATCTTAGATCTAAGATACTGCAACAGGAAAAATGGGCTGATAGGAACCTCGTGAAGTTCAGCAAAGACAAATGCAAAGTCCTGCATCTGGAATGGAGTAATCCTGTGCAACAGAACAGGCTGGTGCTAAACTGGCTAGAAAGCAGCTCTGCAGAAAAATACATGGGGGTCCTGGTGCTGAATATGAATCAGCAGTGTTCTCTTGCAGCAAAGAAGGTCAGCTTCATCCTGGGCCCTAGTACGTAGAGAAGACAGTGCCAGGCTCTTCTCAGAGATGCACAGTGAAAGGATAAGAGGCAAAGGACAGATGTAGGAACACAGGAGACTTTTTGGCTCAACTCAGGGGTCATCAAACACTAAAACAGGCTGTCCAGAGAGGCAGTGGAGTCTCTATACTTGGGGATACTCAGAACTTCAGTGGACAGACCCCTATGTAACCTGCTGCAGCTGGACCTACTTTGAGTAAGGGTTTGAACTAGATGACCCCTGGAGGTCCAACATACATGATTTATTGATGCTATGATGAAGAACAGGG